CCTATGCTGATCCTGCCAAAGGGCATTGGACTGCATCCAGCTGTGACCCCCCAGGGGAGCAAAGGGCTGTGCCAGACCAGCCTCCCCTCTCCACCCCCTTGGGTTGGTCTGTCTATTTGTCTGTCTGTTTGCATCTCCTGTGGCCCTACATGGTGCAGGGCCAGGGCCTTGTCACTTAATAAAGCAACGATAATGAAGGCATAGCCTGGGATGGTTCTTGTCAGAATGCAGGAGTTGGGAGGGGGGGAATGACCAGGTGCCTGGGTCCTGTTCTGGGGTTGGTCACTGAGATGCCCAGTGTGAGGGGGTTGGAAGAGATTGGGGGGGAGGGGCATCATGGGGAGAGTAGGGGCTGGGGGCCCAGACCCCTGAGTTCTCTCTTGCTCTGGGAGAGGAGTAGGGGCCTGGAGGGAGCTGGGATGCCTGTATTCTACCCAGTGCTAGTGGACTGGAGAGGTGCTATTCCCCTTCTGCACTGGGAGAGGAGGGGAGCCAGGACTCTGGGATTCTCTCCCAGCTCCCAGTGGACTGGAGCAGAGATGCCAACTGTCAGTAAATTTTACTGTCAGTTAAAAATATCCAACTAAAAAAGGGGCATTAGTAGTTAGTAAAACTGAGGTAGTCAGCAAAAAACCCCGAAAAACAGTAGCTGCAGCCTGATTAAAGTAAGAGCACAGTGATGCCACCTGTGTAAAACCACCGCTGTCATCAAGCAGTTGTCAACCCACTTAAATTTTTTTTTACCAACAATCAAACACTTTCACTCTGGTTGATGTTAAACCCCTAAATTTAAATCCAGCCCTCTTCACTGGGCCGTGGCAGGCAGGCAGGCAGGGCCTGGCAGAAGAGTTGTATTCACATAATGTGAAACACATCAGTAAAAATGTGTCAGCAAAATAATTTGCCCATCAGGGAAAAAATCTTGCAAACTGTCAGGAAAAAAAAAACCCTTGGTTTGGCAACTCAGGGGTGAGGAGGGAGCCAAGACACTTGGGTTCTCTTGGCAGCTCAGGGAGGTGGGGTTGTAGAGGGCACCTGGGTTCTTCTCCAGCTGGAGTGTTTCATGGAGGGGAGTGAAGGGGGTTAATCAGGACACCTGGGCTCTACTCCAGCTTTGGTGAGTTGCAGAGATACCATCTTGGAGCCCTGGAGTAAGGGCTTGTGGTTAGAGCCAGGACAGCTGGGTTCCATGTCAGCATTGGGAGGGTAATAGGGTTTTAGTCAAAGCCTGGATGGCTGGGTTCCTGACCTGGCTTTGGGGCCAGGGGTTGCTGATGGACATGGGACACCCTTGGGGGTCAGAGGGTAGAAGTAAAATGCAGTTGGGGGCAAGGGCGTGTGTGCAGGCATCAGGCTCTGCTTGGCAAATCTAAGTTTGTCAAAACCCAAGCTATTATACGCAAGGAAATACGGCAAGCCTTAGACAAGCTGCAGGAGTGGGAACAAAGGTGGCCAATGAACTTCAACCATGGCAGGTGCAAGGTGCTGCACATGGGAGAGGGATTATAACCTCTTCCCCTCTGTACAAGCTGCTGTGCCCTGAGTAGCATTTTGACTTCAGGAATGAGTCCATGGCCATGTGGGTGGCAGATAGGCATGGTGTCTTGTCCCCAAAGAGGAACCGGCCACTGCTGGGGGCTGTGGCTTAAGTGAAAATCTGTGCGCTGAAATGGGAGCATGGACACTGTGCTGGCAGTGAGGGTTCAGCTTCTTTCCAACCAGCTGCAAGCAGAGGCCCAGTCTGGGTCCAACCTGCTACTAGGTGCTGCTGATGTGGGCAGTCATTTCTGCCAGCCACGGGATAATGGTGCTTCTCTTCCTGGCACTAAGCAGGTCTCATCTAGTGCTTTAAGCACAGTTTGGGGATCCATATTTGACAAGGGATGTGGGTAAGTCAGAGAGGATCCAGGGGTGGGCAACAAAGATAGGCAAATCATATGAAGAGAGGCTGAAAGAGCTGGGCCTGTTTAGCTTGTGAAAAAGGTGCAAATACCTGGAGGACTGCCATAAATAAAAAAGGAAAGCACCTGTTCATTCTCTCTTGCTGCAGAGAGGAGTACATGGACCAATGGTTTGAAGTTGCAGCAAAGTGGTTTAGATGAAAATCAGGAAAAACCCTTTCATCATCAGAACAGTGAGGCTGAGGAATAGATGCCCAGGGGAGTTGTGGACTCTCCAGCACTGGAGAGGTCTAAGCAGAGGTTGCACAGCTACTGATCAGGGATGATCTAGGTGTAGCATGGCAAAGCCTAGCCTGGGAAATCCCTATAGTACAGCACAAGCATCCCTGTTTGCACCCTTCCCCTTTTCTGCTGTAGGTAAAGCAGGGGAACCAAACAGCCAACGTCCTGCTGTTGTATAAGGTTGTTAAGCTACACTAGAAAGATCCCAGGCAGAGCCCATGTCGCTGCTACAGAGGAAGGCAAAATGCTGCCCTCCCCACCTCCCGGCCATACCAATCTGACCATGGGGTGAAATCCCTCCCTCACCTCAATGCAGTGTTGGTCTGATCCTGAACAGAGGCACAAGACCCTCTAGCCAGGGCCCTCTGTGTTTGAATCTCAGCAGGTGCGCTAGAGCAGTTCAGTCCCCATCCCCAGCCTGGGCTGCAGCCAATACCCAGTGCCTCCAAGGGAGGTTTAGAAACCCCAAAGCATATAGCAGCAGAGGGGGAAATGCTTCCTGCCTGGGGCTGGGGCTGGGCAAGCAGAAGGCAGCAGCAGAGGGGGAGAGGACAGAGCCACAGACCAAGGGCAGCAAAAGGAGCAGTGGTCCCAGGAGGCTGGAGCCAGGCAGGGGTCCGTGTCAGCCTAGCTGCAGGACAGTTTTGGTGCTCAATAGAACCTGCCATTACCCCATTCACTCAAGTCCAGGATGACACCCACCTCCGCGCCCGCATTCAATATGGGAGGAACAAGCCTTGACTTAGAAGACAGGCTCATGGGAAAAGGCAGCACCTGCAGGGAGAAGAGGTAGCAGGAAGCCAGTGGGTGAGTCATGGGGGCAGCTCTGGAGCTGGAGTCGGGGCACCTGATGGTGGAGCAGGAGGTGGGGGTAGTTATTGGGAGGGGCAAGTAGGGGGGCAGGGGAAAGTGTACAGGCTGGGGGCAAGTGGCAGATGGGCATGGTGCAAGGAGCCCAATCCCCAGTCACTCCCCTCTTTCCCAGCCCCCCCCCTTTTCCCCTGCCACAGTAGCTAGGGGTGGGGAGGCATGACTAATTTGAGCCATCCCTGCCGTCATTAGAGTCTAGACATGGAAAATGATAACAAATGTCTCATTCTCCATGTACACACGTTCAGTGGGGTGGTGTCAGCTTAAATTCAAAGTCATCTTGAATGTGGGTGAGTAGGACATTGTGGGTAATGGGGCACAGCCATGTTGGGGGACGGGTAGCGGGTAAGTGCTGCGAGCTTCCCTTCCACAGGGCTGCTGCCCCACCACTGTGGGGCTGAATGTAGCAAGACCTGGGTGATACCCACAGGGCTGGAGGCTGCAGGAGCTTGACTGGGCAGGTCTGGCCTGACTGGCAGCCAAGAGCCCCCACTAACAAGGCAGCAAATAAAGCCCGCAGGAAGGTGCCAAGGCCAAGAAGGGTGCAAATACTGGTAAGAGCAAAGAGCAGATGTTGAGCAACGCACCAAAAGGCGATATGGTGATGGAGGCTACCAGGTGTCTCCCACCAGCTGTGGAGAACCAGGGACAGCTCAGGCAGGCACCACCATGCAGGAGTAGGAAGACTTGCCATATGTAGTGGCCTGGGTCGGGGGCAAGTTGCTGCTGCTGTTCAGAACAGGTTGGCTGAGGGGCACAGCTGGTGTTGGACTGGGTGGCATCCGGTCCCAAGCACAGGCATCCTCTCTCACACTGAAGACCAGAAGCTAAACACCCTCCTGCTATAGCTGGGGCCTGGGAGGTTTGGGGCCCCCAGCTGTGCTCTCTACCTCCAACCCAGGAACCAGCTATTCCCCAAGGACAGGTGCTGGGCATCGCCACTCGTGTCAAGGCAAGGGCACCTTTAGCCTCCCTGCATTAGTGCCAGAGTCTGATTTGCCCCGAAGATGGCCAAGTAACACGCCCAGCTCAGAGCACTGCCCTGCTCTGCACTAGCAGTGCTGAGTGAGGGGGAAACAATATTTTCTGACATACAACACACCCTTGCTCCTACCCACCCCCACTGCTGTTGGAGACAGAGCTGGACAGACCATCAGTCAGCCCCACTGTAGCACTTGTGATGCTCCAAGGCTTTTTTTCCTTTGGAAACCAGTCTAGCCATTGCACCATGTGCTACTGAGTCCCAGGGAGGCACCTCCTGGTGTGCTGTGTCTAGCTCTGGGCCCCACCCTTCAAGGAGGATGGGAGCAGGTTGGAAAGAGTCCAGTACAGAGCAACAACAACGACCAGGGGCCTGGGAGGACAGGCTGGAAGAACTAGGCGTATTGAGCCTGGAGAAAAGGAGGCTGAGGGGGGATCTGATCATGGTCTTCAAATACCTGAAAGACGATGACAGAGAAGATGGAGATTAGTTGCAGGGGACAGGACTAGGAGCAACAGCCTCAAGCTGCAGCAGGGGAAACTGAGGCTGGAGATAAGGAACAACTTCCTGACTCCAAGAACACTCAAGTATTGGAACAGGCTGCCCAGAGATGTGGTGGAGTCCCCATCTCTGGAAACATTCAAGAGCAGTCTGGACAGACCCTTTGGCTGGGATGATCCTGCCCTGAGCAAGGGGTTGGACACGATGCGACTCCCTGAGGTCCATTCCAGCCCTGCAATGCTATTATACATGAAGAAATACAGTAAGAGCCATCTCCACCACTTACTGGGCAGAAGTCAAGGTGGCAGCGATGGGGCACACTGTATGTGGTCAAGTATAGTACCTTTCCCCATCCCTGCCCAGGGCAGCTGCTACCTCTCTGCAGACACATGATCCAGGTGAGGGGAGAAGGAGACAGGGGCTGGGGGCAATTGGGGCTTAGCCCGC